GGGCGCCCCCCCCTCCGCGCCGCCCCCCCGGTTTGCTCTGAGGGCTCCTTGCGCCTTCGGCAGCGCAGGAAGCGAGCGTGGCGGGAGGCAAGAGAAATATTCTGCTGGAAGGGTGGTTTTTATCGAAGGCAAAATTTGGATTTTTTTGGGGTAGAAGTGGGTCACTCGAGGGGTGACAGAGTAAGAGCAGCATCGCCTGGGTACTGCATCCCGTTGCCATGGTGACCTGAGGGCTGCATCAGTCAACAGCTTTAAAAATGTGACAGTTGAGTGAGGCTGAAGGTTTTAATGAGGACAGACGCTTGCTCGCTTCGTTTCGATAACCGAACACTATAAACACCCACCGGCTGCATGGCTCCGGGTCTCCGGACGCGTGGCCGGGGCGCTCCCCTTCCCCGGGCAGACCCTGCACCCCAGGCTGGGAGCTTGGTCTGGAGCTGCCTTGGAAAGAACGGAGGGGGGGGGGGGATGCAAAGCAGATGGCTTGGGTTGTTTCCCACCCGCTAACCCAACGCGGGGGACAAGGTGACACGGTCGTGATCAGAGAGTGCAGAGCCGTGACAGGGTCACCCCTGGCCACCGCCCTGTGCCTGCAATAAAGCGAGCCCGGGGAGCAAACACAGCTTGCTAAAGAGGAGATTAACTCCTGCAGCGGGTGGGTGAGCTGTGAGAGCTCCCAGCCCTCCGTAGCAAACACAGAGATGTTGTGGGACTGGGGAAAGCAAAGCCCGGTGCTGCTGAGGCAGGCATTGGGATGGCTTGGGAAGGAGTTGGGAAGGAGTTGAGAAGGCATTGGGAAGGAGTGGGAAGGTGTTGGGAAGGAGTTGGGAAGGAGTTGGGAAGGTGTTGGGAAGGAGTTGGGAAAGTGTTGGGAAGGAGTTGGGAAGCAGTTGAGAAGGTGTTGAGAAGGAGTTGGGAAGGCATTGGGAAGGTGTTGGGAAGCAGCTGGGAAGATGTTGGGAAGGAGTTGGGAAGGCATTGGGAAGGCATTGGAAAGGTGTTGGGAAGGTGTTGGGAAAGCATTGGGAAGGAGTTGGGAAGGTGTTGGGAAGGAGTTGGGAAGGAGTTGGGAAGGTGTTGGGAAGGCATTGGGAAGGCATTGGGAAGGTGTTGGGAAGGCGTTGGGAAGGTGTTGGGAAGGCTCTGCGGTGCTGCTTGCGTGCCCTGGTGCTCTGAGCACCCTCGTATCACTGCCATCGGTGCGCGCCGTGCCGTGCCTCAACACCAGCTCCCGCGAAGGGCTGAGGGAGTGGGAGGCAAATCTGCGGCTTCCACTTTTTTGACCCCCTGCCGAAATGGGTCGGTCCCGCACCGTGGGGAGGGAGCTGCCGCCTCCAGACCCCCGTGCCACCGCTGCGACCAGCC